ATGTATTTTAGACACTTTCTCCAGTTGTTGGTCCTATTTTGAGAGGCTGTGGGCCTATAAGGAATCATCTGGAGGTGAGACCAGTGGGTTAGAGCCCCACCCCAGTGAACTCCAGCCTGAGTTCTCTGCTCTCTGACCCACTGTGATATGAACAAGCAGCCCCACTAACAGTGGGCACATGCCTTCACTGCCAGGGTGGCAGCCCCACTAACAGTGGGCACATGCCTTCACTGCTGGGGTGGAACGTGTCCTCTCAAGCATGCGGTGAAGTGAAAGTCATTCTTTGTTAGATATTTGGTCACAGCGACGGGACAAGTAACTGATACATTTAGCTACATTTATTTCTTGATATGGAAATACCTAGGAAGTGATGAAGACAGTTACTCTTTCACTTCCTAAGAACGGTGGTCACAACCTAGTGACTAACTTCCTGAGGCACTAGTCTGAAAGAACATCAGTGTCGATGCCATCCCTCTGGTGGTCATCAGAGTGTGAGGCAAGATGTGACCTCTGAAGTATGTTTAAGTTCAATAATGCTATTACTCTGTGAGAAACTCCTTGGCCTAACAAGTCCCTTGCTCTCCTCTCAATAGCAAATAAAGCTGATCTCACCTATCCAAACTTGACTTTTCAGGAAGGTCCTAGCCACCACATGCTGCTGCTTTTCTGGTCTACAGAGCACCACTGGAAGAAGAAACAATTCTCCCTAAGAACAGTACCATCGCTTCCTTCCTGCCTCACTCTACGGGGATCCGCTGCAGCTTGAACCCGAGGGTCCCCCACCACCAACGACTGGCACAGCCAGCATGCAGAAGAGCCCATGGGGCTGGGGAAGTGAAGGACATCTTCCATGCTGCCTCTCTCACTCTGGGTGTCTGGCTTGAGAAGGCCACCGAGAAGCTCTGTGTGTCTGCATTGATCGGGCTTTTCTGTTGTTCGGACGTTCCTCAAGGGACTGCACCACAATGGGAACTGACCATCTAGTGAAGGCACGTGTGTCCCAGGGGACTCTGTCGTCAGGGACGGAGGTCTGGCTGTCTCTTGTCCTGGAGGGAAGCTATTGCAGATGTCCTACCCCAGCAGCTGAGGTGGAGGGCAGATATGAAGTGTGTGTGGCTGTAGCATCATGAAGACCCATGTTTTCATGTATTAGGGTGTCCCGTTTTCTTACTCCAAGAGAGGACAGGTGTCCCCAGGAGAAGGGCAATGCTGACTTAGGCACTCTGCTAGACCCAGTGGCATCCCTGTGTAGGTGAGAGGAATCAAGGGTGAGCCAGCAAGGCGGCTCAGGGAAAGCCTCGTGAGGCCTTCAGCCACAGGCTCTTCTCTAGTGTGGTCTTCTACAACTTGGACTACGGCAAACAAGGCTTTTCATTAAAACAAACTTTGTAAGGCAGCATACACAAAGAAGGAAAACTGGGTCTCTAAAAAGTTCTCTTCTCTTGCTGAGCATGTAATTAACATTCTAAGAATAGTTAAGATAACGCAAACGTTGGGAATTTCATTCCTGTCTTCTAAACATTTCAAGGCAGGTGCAGTGGGCTGGAGCACTGCCTGCTCTTCCGGAGGACCTGGAACTGCACACACGTGGTGAAGACACGCATGTGCAAAACACTCATGCATATAAAATAGATCTTTTAAAAACTTAAAAAACAAAAAAAGTAAATGAAGGCAGGTGCGGAGTTGCCAGTACTTGGGAAAGAGAGGTGAGGGGATCTGTGCATCTTCAAGGCAACTAGAGTGAGACCTGTGTCAGAGACAGACAGACAGACAGACAGAACAAACATTACATTTCAATGAAAACAACAACACAGAAACCAAACACAGCACTGAATGGGAAGGAAGGCCGGGTTTAGCCCAAACACCCTTTGTTTACCTCTATCGGACTGTTTTAAATGATGCTTTCTTGAGATGGGACCAAAAAAGAAATGCTCCTTAGCATGCAGGCCCTCATTTAGGTGGAGAGGGGAGGTAAGCTAGAGAAGCCGAGGGCTGAGGAGCCAGGGTTTTCTCTCTGGGCTTTGTGACTCACTCGAGATCTAGTTTACATCTTACTGTCCCACTGCTCCCCTGGGAATGTTTGTGACCAGCTACGAACTGTTCGAACACCCCGCAGTAGGTCCACGACACATTTCTAGTCCTAGTTAATCTATCCCTTACTCTCCTGGCCCCTTAACCCCAGTAAACTCTCTCTACAAATCACGAGACAACTTTGCTTTATAGGGCTCGAGAAATGGCTCAATAGTCCGAAGGGTTATTGTTCTCTCAGAGGACCCAAGGCTGCTTCCTGGCACCCATATCAGGAGTCTGGCAGGAATTCCAGATCCAGGGAGTCTGAGTCTGACACTCTTTCACTCATGCACACACACACACACACACACACACACACACACACACACA